GGAGTGATCTGCTTTGGACACCGAACCATGACGCAAGACAGTTTGGTTACCTAGCAACCACCTACATTGACCAAATATGTTATGACACAGGATGTCACTCTAATGATCTCGTTTTGATGCAGAATCATGATGTTGGCGTGATACTCATGAATATCCGGGCTAGCTCGACCGAATAATAATAAACAAATATTCCAGTAATTTTATGATCAATCTCGCTTCATTTACCACTAAACAAGTACTAAGTTGGGTGATATCGGAAAGTTACCGAAAGTCTTTAGGACATGGATGATCATGATTCTCCACAGATTCTGTGATTCGTACTTCTTAGCAACGTTTGTTTGGTTACTATTCCTGCCAGCCATTAATCTGCTACCCATTTACATTAACTCGTTAACTTCTGAATATTACTGCCACGTCCGTCCTGGTGTTCGTCAATATGTTTACGGATTCTTGATAAACTCCAAAGAATATGCAATGTTATTGGTCCTTGCCTGACATCTCAGCTTCAATCCTTTTCCCACCGCCGTAACATAGCTTCCCGGTGTCTTTTCTACAAATACTTTCATGATAATTGTTCTGATGAACTTTCCTCTGTGGTATTTTATGAATTCATGCGCGGTATTTTATTGACGACAAGGTCTCATCAATTTACAGTTGAAATGGCTGCTAGATGTAACCGTAAGTTCTACGCTGATAGTTTCTTCTATCACACTTCTCGCTTGTGGGACTCTCTTCCGGCTTTTTGCTTCCCAGTCAACATTGCATTTAAAATTTTGAATATCAATGCCAATCATTATCGCCCGTCTTCTTAATTTTTTTTATTGTCTTTCCTTAATCATAGTTTTTCTCATATTCTCTAACACTCAGTAACCTTTTGCGTCCTAGTGGCTTTATTGCCTTGCTTGGGGTAAAATGAGTTTAAAAAATGTAGATTATTTCTGTATCCATTCACCCCACTTGTTTTAAATGCCCTGTCAGTGTTAAATTCTCCATGCTCTATTTATTATGTGCCACAGAAATGTGAACTATTTCTGGTTATAAGTGTCCTTTTTCTTTCCATTTTGCTTAAAACTTCTTCATTGCTCGCATGGTCTCTCCATGGTATTTTCAGCATCCTTCAATAGAACCACATCACTCGCTTCAAGTCACATCTTCATCTGTGAGTAAATTGCCCAGCATTCACTGCCGTATACTACAGAGGAGTTTAATATCTTTTTTTTTCTTTGCTTCTAGCGAAATTTTCCTGTTTCTTAACACTTTTCCATTCTGGAATTAATCTCTCGTTATTCCAATGCGCCTTCGGATTGATCTCTGTGTCGCCATATCTGTCGTCAGTTACGGCACAACCCAGATAGTTAAACTTCTGTATTTGACTCCTTTTGACATCCCCAATGTTTAGCTCACGTCTTGGGCTGACTCTTTTGCTGACGACTATCGTAAGTAAGTGCGGTATCTGTACCGTTCAACGGAAATAAGCGTACTTATAACTTTCATTTTTGAGAGGAGGCACGGTGGTGTAATGGATTGAGGAATCGGAGAGCCGAGTTCGAATTCCAGTCGAATCCATACGTGCTAATAGTCTTGGGAAAGTTATGAATCCTATTCTTCTCTCTTCTAGCAAGACAGACTGGGTTCTATAGCCTTGGCTAGCAACTGATTTAGGAGAAGGACAACTCTGAATTCAAAACTTGATCTTCCAGGTTGGAGGTTGTACAATAGGCTAAAACATCATACTCAAAAACTGGCTTGTTACAGAAACCGCAACGATATCTTAGGGCCTCAAAGCTTACAGCACCTGGTATTTGCAAGCAGCTAACCATCTACGTACTGACCAGGCTCGATCTTGCTTAACTTCGATGTCGCGGTTCCTATCTCAATAATCCATAATTTCACCACTGCGCGTCACGAATGTGGCCTTTAAACCCAGCCAGGGATTTACACCCCCTATCGCATTGTTATTAATTTTAATTAAGTTTGAGTTGCACGAAGTCCATTCAGGAGATGCTCAGAATCTGACTCTGATACCTTTAGTTGAAGTTGTAGCTCAATACTCTTAGAGTCAGTGACTTGTCAAGCCCCTACCTGCAGCAAAGACGAATATTAACTTCTACACTTTGATATTGGGGACTACGGAGTTGGACCTTTCAACTCTAATATTATTTATAGGCTTAATCTATCCTACTCAGTATGAATATTTGCAAATTTCACTGCAGCGGCATTGTCTGACACTCAATTTCTCTATCGTATAAATTAGATATTTATGGGGTGCCTCGAGGCGGTGTAATAGCAAGTTTGTCTCGCTAGAACAATTACTACTGAGTAGATCCTTGTACCACATCTAAGCTAAACTTGGAAAATCACTATATTAGATATTTACGTCATGTCGTTCAAAGGCGGAGACGATCATGACTCTCCACAAATTGTTTTTCCCTATTATCTACGAATTGCAATGACTTTTTAAGGAAACATCGTGGTTTCCTCTTGCCTTCGCCACAGTTTTGAATTCAGAGTAGTTCTTCTTCTAGATTAGCTGACACCCAAAGCTAGTGAGCCCAGTCTACCCTACTATTTAAGCCATAGTTGGTAAAGAGATAGATTTTCCAAAAATATTAGTGTCAAAGTGAACGCAACAGACAAGGCAGAAATTTGAACATGGCTCGTTGACTCCACTTTCTGCTACAATAAGTTACGCTACCAAAAAAAAAACTTACGTACCTGTATAGACCATTCCAAAATCGAAAAAAATCTGAGCCCCAAAGAGTCTCATCGCAATCATCTCGGATAGGAGATTGTGTATTTGTGTTTAAAACTCTAATTTACTCATGTGGCAAACATGACCAGCATTAGATTCCAATCAACTTGTAGTGAACGAAACAAGATCTAGATTTAAAATTCAAATGCTAAGCACTGATTCATTGACTTTATTGGAAATTAAAAAGACTCGAACTTGCAAACTTTGCTTAACGCAAAAGCAAATCCAAAACAAAACTCGTGAAATTTCACGAGTTTTGTTTTGGATTCGCTTTTGCGTGTGCGTTAATCAAAGTTTGTAAATTCGAGTCTTTTTAATTTCTAATAAAGTCAATGAGTCAGTGCTTAGCATTTGAATTTTAAATCTAGATCTTGTTTCATTCACTACAAACTTACCTTTTATAGTTTCAGACATTTTTGCATCTGGTGCATTATATAATTCTATTTATTTAAAAAAATCAAAAACCCAAAAAAATAGTAATTCCAAAAACAGTTCTGACTTAATTCACAGTCGATAATGAGCGCAATTTTCAAAATATCTTCGCTCAAAACACGCATGCGTAGACAGTAAAGATGAATTATTGAAGATCACGAAAATAAGAGATTTTTCTTAACTGATATTAAAATTCGGTTTTCAAGAATGTACCTCGTATGAAGAGTATAAGGAACGTTTTAATTTAATGGCTTTAAGGAGTTGTGGTAGCCGAATTTCTTACATGAAGTATTAACTATTATTAACGAGCAATACTTTGTGGAGAAATTACCACGTTGAGGCTTTTCAAAGCAGAAAGACGATCTGCAAGTTGCGATGAAAAGTAACCGAAATTAAGACGAAAGAAATACTAGTCCCAAATCAACACATCTAATGTAAAATGTGTATGTATAGGGATCTCTCATAATCTTCAATTTCGAGCGGACACGTGCACCCACAAACTTTCAGGTTTCTTTATGTTAAACTATATGCATGTAAAAAGAATATTTAGTTTTTCTAAATGAAAACTCATAACACACACACACACACACATACATATATATGCATACACACATACAACATTTTACCTAATTAAAAAATATTTTTCGTCAAGTGAATAAAGAGACGGAAATCTATAAGGTACGTTTAATTTAAAATAGGTTATATTTGCCATGAGAATCAATTTTTTTTACAAAAACTTAAAAAAAGATAGTAACGTTTTCTTTCTCGCCAAGTGTTAATTGTGGGCAGGGATGAAATTTTAACCGTAAGTTGATCTGAAACCAAACCTTTCTACCTTTTTAGAGAACGGTCAAACCTTTTGGTTTGGTTTCAGATTTGTCACGTTGACGGGTTATTTTTGCAGTTTCGGACGAAAAAGTTAATTTTGTCAAACGTTTGAAATGAGAGGAAATTAGCAATATCGATTTGGATGTTTTTCTTTTGTTACTACCAAACCAAAATCTTCATACCAAGAGAAAAGTTATATGTTAACCATTTTTTTTTTTTTGTTAGTTTCCCACCTCACCCAATTTATTTTCGTAATTTGGACTAACGAACAAAAATCAGCATTTTCGGTCTTTTGTGGGAACGAGAAAAAGGAAAATGCAACCTGATTTTCTTTCTTTTTTTTTTAATAGGTTTCGCATTTGAAATATATGCACGCTAGCTTTAGGTTAGGACTAACGAAAAAAAATATCCCCATACTTTAATATTTGATGAAGTCCAAGGAATGTAATGATCAAAACGCTGTGTTAAAATGTATGTCTATTGATGCGATTAATTCTTTGAATCAAGATTAACAGTCTGTAAATTGTTCTTTGACATAACCTGAAAATATTTGTCAAACTCTGGGGCTTGATTGACTGAGTAATATAATGAAGGAAATAACTTCAAATTGGGAATTATTAATTTCTTGCAGTCACGATGGCAGGTTCGACGTCATTCTGTACAAAAATTGAAGAGAACAATTGGTAAAGATGAAGTAAGTCAGTCAAAAGTAAAACTGATGAAAAGATTTGATTATAATTTTTGGTTTAACCGACTTTAGTTAAGGAGAATTAAAGAAACATCTTGTTCGATCACCACATCGACAATTTTGCGGTTGCAATATATCGTCGCTTCACAGGAAAATGGTATTTACTGCTAATAGTGTCGAATGTATAAGCCACCTTATACTACAAGATTCACTGAAACGCAAAAAAAAAAGTTATAAGGGATTCGTTCCGCTTCCCTGACCACTTCTTTTTATTCCGGCTTTTTGTAAATCCATGAGGAATCAGAGTAATTTATTTTGAAATTTCTTCTCAACCCTAAATACATCTTCGCTTTCTCCGTTTTCATATAAGGTTACATTGTGGATCGTCTCAGAGGTATTCGTCTTGTTCTGTCCGTTTTGCACGGTCCTTCGTTCAGTTTTGGCATTATAGATTCTGTGAAACCATTCGTTCACTATTGCCGCCATTTTGTCGCTGAAACGTAGTACAAACGCGTGTTCAATTTTGTTTTCACAGAACCGGACGTCGGCAGAAGGAAAATGCCTTTTCATATTGTAACCGAATTCAATCGGACACCAATGATCGTTCCAGCCATAGTAAAAACTGATACGGTCTATGTGCTTTTCAACCAAGTCTTTGTCTAGTTCCTTAACAACCTTCAGTTCTTCTTGACCTAGAGTGAACGAATAGTCAACACAGGACGTATCAAAGATGCTCGTGGTGGCCCTGAGTATGCATTCATCTACTACTGACCGACCGAAATATGTTCGAATGATGCCAGACTGAATTCGGGTGGAGAGAAAAGACAGGAGGAACACAAGAGTAAGCAGAAGCCATCGAATGAGGAAGAAAAACGGTGAGAAAGCGCAGATGATTCTACCGGCAAATGACGAGGACAGACGTTCGATCGTGGGGAAGAGAAAGAAATTGTAGTAACTCTGTTTGCCTAAATGAGGCAGCAAGCGTAAATTGATAAAACAACCGATGGAATGGCTCACAAGAATCAGTCGTGTATGGCGGGGTATGTGAGCCTTTATGAAAAGGAGCTTGTGTTGGACCTGTTGCTCAAGAGAGGTCTCATTTGTAAGCCGGCCTGGAAAAAAAATAAACAAAAGAATATTTCAGTAAATGAAATGTACAAAAAACAAAAAAAAAAAAAAAAAAAAAAACGTGTTTAGGCCCTCAGAGAGGAACTTTATTCAGAGCGGTAGCAAATATTCATAATAAAAATATCTGGGTCTCTAGCCATATCGAAATACTTGGAAAGAATAATGTCATTACAGCAGCATAGTAAAGTTTAGAAATGCAAAGTACATATATATCAAACTCGGCGTGGTGTAATGGTTAGCAAGCTTGTCTTGCTAGATCAGTTACTACTGAAAAGTGAGTTCGATCCTCACTGGATGCCCCATGCTTTCGCTCTTGTGCCACAGCTACGCTTGGAAAATCTCTACATATATATCAAACTCCACTTAAAGAGTGTCAAGAGCTATGGAATTCCTGTCCAAGTGATAAGCTATATCGAATCCAAGTTACCAGTGGAGAACAACAACTTAATCATGGATAGATAATAAAAAGGAAAGTGGTTATCACCAGAATCTGCATAGGTGATATGTATACGTGTACGACGGAGAACCACAGATATGTATAGCTTGTCTCGAATGATACTCTGTATGGCATACCTTGGTAAAATGTGATCAACTGAGCCTGACCCTATTCAGTATATATATATATATATATGCAAGCAGGTTTGGTTAAATAATTTAAACGTATTATGTCTATTTATTTTAGTTTTAATCCTTTCAATCCACGAATTAATTTCTTGATGGGTGTAGAAAATTGATAAAAAAAATACCAAATTTTCTTTCAAATAATTCTTATTCTCCCAAGTATTTTCAATCTCATCTGAAACCATCTTCAGGGGATTAAAATATCTTTGGATGGGTATATAGTAGCTCCATAAATTCAAAATAATTTTTCTGCTGTTCGTTTTACACTACAGCGTTTCAAATTCAAAATTTTTATTTATGCAAAGGAGGTAACTTTGCAATTTTTAAAAAAAGAAAAAAATTAATTAAAATATTTTAATTTAGTATTTTATATATTGTTATCGACAGACAGACTGTTTCGCTGTATAACAGCTTATCAGCGTGGCTAGACATCCGATTGCCTCAAGCCAAAAACGAAACCCGACTGATTTGGCACCAGTCGGAGACTTTACCCTTAGGCTATCAGTGCTCGGTTGAAAGGAAGGCGAATTTTTACGTACTTACTTTTCGAATAAACACACCAAAGACCGATAGGACTCAATTCATGGAAGATCTTTGTAGTATTAGCAGCAACAGTCATTGTTTACAAATTCATGCATTTTCTCAAGAGTTCTCAACCTGAATTAAATTTTCAGAAAACTTTGCTGCGATACTCATAATTGACTTTATTTATTTTTGGCTGGAATTCTCTTGTATAAAGGTCTTCCAGAATTTTAGGTTTTTGCTTATTATTTTGATGAAGTGCTAATGTATTTTCGTCTAATATCTGTCTAAACTGTGAATGTGGACATGAGTATTCCTTTAAATGCTCTGAGATTGAATTATGCTCATTTAAGTGAAACGTAAACCGTCTCGTCAACGTCGTCGTTGTAAAACCAACATATGTATTAATATTTTTTTATCAGAGATGCAATTTCCCAATAGACATTTACATTGATATACAATGTGGCTAGTTGACAGAGAACTGTTTTGGATGACTAGGTTGATTGTATTAAATTTAGTATTTTATATATATATTTTTTTTTTTGATTAGTGAGGACATATTAGTGTTTATGAGTTTTTTAAGAATTTTTTCTCCTGTTTATATTTAGAATGCATTTGATTATAGTATAGTTGTTTGATATGTTTAGAGTTATTTGATGATGTACTATGTTCATTTTGTTCATGTTTATATTCCCAATAGCTCGTCTAATTTGTTCATCAACTATGTAATTAAGAAAGTCATTTTTAATGAGAATTTGTTTAATATTTTTTCACTCAGTATAAAAAATCTTTCTTATTGAAGAGTTTGCCTTTGAACGGTTTATTAAGTTTCGTATAATAGTTATTTTGCAAAAGGACATTCACTTTTATAGTTGAGAGTGCACGTGTTTATGCTAGTTGGTTTTTTGTATATTGGAAGGTAGTAAATGTAATTATTAAAGTCTATCAATGCATCAAGAAACGGGATTTTATTGTCTTTGTTAAGTTCGTATGTGAACTTAAGTATGGATTTTTTTAAAAAGTTTTTTGTAATTCATATTTTTCGTCAATGTCTTTGATTAAAATGAGAATCTCATCTACATATCTTAGGTAAATGGAGGGTTTTTTTCTCATGAGATTGCAAGTACTTGGGAAAATAAAAATTATTTGAAAGAAAATTTTGGTATTTTTCTTGATCAATTTTCTACAGCCACCAAGAAATTAATTTATGGACTTGAAATGATTAAAACTAAAATAAATAGGCATAATACGTTTAAATTATTTAACCAAACCTGCTTGAATGAAAATATACTACATATATATATATATATATATATATATATATATATATATATATATAAAATACAGGTGTCCATAAAGTTCGTGTGTACTTTTAAAAATTTATAACTTTATTTGTGTTTGCAATAGAAATAATCTGTAAAAATGTTATAAAGTTTAATGTACCTAGTTTTAAGTATAGCTAAAATAACTAATGTGATTTCAGGCATTACTGTAAATCAGTTGGTAAATATTTTCAGTGAACTGCAAAATCGTATTACCCTTTGTATTGCTAATGATGGAAGAAATGTGGAAACTTAAATAAAATTTCAACAAAACCTTAACAAATATAGATTTACTCCTTTCTAATCCTTTTTACAAATTATTTCTATCGCAAATACAATTAAAGTTATAAATTTTTTAAAGTGCACACGAACCTTATGGACACCCTGTATATATATGTGTGTGTGTGTGTGTTGGGCAACAGATCATTATTTAAACATATTATTAAATATAACAGACAACGTATGTCTATTATGTTTGATCATGAGCCGTTCTAAGCTTCGTATAGTAGTTTTAGTTTCAGGAGAAAATAAAGACAAAAACTGTCCAACATTTGGATATTTTTTATTACGCTGTTCTCCCGAAGCAAAAGCCACTATACGAAGCTTAGAACGGCTCATGATCAAACATAATAGACATACGTTGTCTGTTATATTTCACCATATATGGCCTGAGGATTGCATTCAAGAAGGAAAGACTGTCGCTAGTTGGTGTTGATCTCAGTGTCCACTTTTGTATTTACATATGCTCTATCTCTGATAATATCAACATAGTCTATCTTAAAACTGTATTTGTATTGCTAATGATGGAAGAAATGTGGAAACTTAAATAAAATTTCAATAAAACCTTAACAAATATAGATTTACTCCTTTCTAATCCTTTTTACAAATTATAAACGCGTGTGTGTATGCGTATGTATGTCATTTCCTGCTTCTTACCATCCTCATTACTGGGAACCGGGACCACTGAGAATTGCCCCAATGCTCTCTACTTTACCCTATCTCTTGCCACAACTATGCCCTCCGCCAGCATTCTCTCTATCCAATCTCTAATGTCATCACTCCAGCATTGCCTTGATCTTCCTCTCGATTTCCTACTATCAAGGCATCCCTCCAGGATATGCAATTAGAGGTTCTGGGCCCTGATGACATGGCCAAAATATTACAGCTTTCGCTTCAATACTTTGGCTATGTCATCAGGGCCCAGAACCTCTTCCGACACATCCTGGGTGTATATGTACGTACATATAAATGCAATTCTCAAAAAAAAAATATAGAGCTTCATGACACTGTATAACACGTTCAAGTGTCGTAAAATACAAAACTCTCTCTCTCTCTATATATATATATATGAAGAAATATAGTCTTAATATGTGCTATATTTATGGGATATAGTGCTCAATATCAGAGATAGAGCGTGTGTAAATATAAAAGTGAACATAGAAGTAAACACGTAGAGGCGACAGTCTGTTTCATGATAACAGCACTCGTGGCCTGACGATTGCATCTATTTTCTCGGCTATTTATATAGACGAGTCAGTGGTGCATTGTGGGTAGTCTATTTTGGCGGTTATTTTACCAGCAGTCGTTTGATTATTTATTTATTTGGGTTAAATTATTTTGCTTGTTTTTATTTATTTTTATTTTTTTGCTTGTTGTTTTTTTTTTTTTTTTTTTTTTTTTACCAATGCTCTCTACTTTACAAAAATAAAAAATAAATAAAAACAAGAAAAATAATTTAACCCAAATAAATAAATAAACGACTTCCGGTAAAATAACCGCCAAAATAGACTACCCACAATGCAGCACTAACCCGTATATATAAATAGCCGAGAAAATAACAGTACTCGTGGCCCGACGATTGCATCTAGCATGAAACACTGTCGCCTCTAAGTGTTGACTTCTATGTTCACTTATATATATATATATTTCACCTTCTCTTGCCAATAAGTAATCTTGTTTTTATCCGCTATTGTTTTATTGCATAAGCTGTAAGCCTCATACAAAATTCTAGTCTTCATTTTCTGCAAATATTTCCTAATATTCCAGTTAATTTACGCAATATATTTGGTCTCTGGATACGATGTATCCCCGACCTGCACTTTATTATCATAGGAAAGTGATTATTACACAAACCCGTTTAATCAAGTCGTCAGTCTATGGCAGTTAACAGTGCAGAGTAACTTTTAAATATTTCAACAAACCTTTCATCCAATGGTATTTTTCTAAAATCGTATTCACCCCAAGCAAGGCAATAAAGCCACTAAGATACAAAGGGTTACAGCGCATGGAAGAATTAGAAGACAGAAACCTTACTAAAGAGCGGGGAACAAAAGAAGAGCAACCAGGAGGAGAGTATATAGTGATTGATATTGCATTTAAATTTTTTAAGATTAAAGTTGACTGGAAAGCATGGAGCCAGAAGGGAATTTCACAAGCGAGAAAAGAAACTCTTAGCATAGAACTTTCAGTTATGCCTGACCAACTCAGCTGCAAATTGCCGAAACCACATCGCCAGTCTA